GAAAATAAACAATAGAAGGAGCTGTGGCAGGAAGGTTTTAGGAAAATAGTTTTAAGTTCTAGGATTTAGCTCTGATAAGCATAGATTTTAATGGATTTTTTCTCTGTAAATATTCCAGCTATAAGAAAATTAAGTACAATCATTACACAACTAAACAATACTTCTCAGGATAATGGCACTGTTGAATTTGTTTTTTTTTTTAAATGCCAGAACTTTACTAATTTTCTTTTATGAAACAAATAACAAACAAAACAAATAACAAACAAATAAACAAAAACAAAAGATACATGTCAAAGTAACAGTACAGAGAGAAAAAAGTGATATAGATGTGGTGAAATACCTGCAGAAAGTACAAGGGGAGTTAATAAATGTCACAACCACAGTATCACTTCATTTTTAGACCTTTCATGAAGTATTGGGGGGCAAAATATAAAAGCAACAATGTGATGGATCAGAAACATGTTGTTGATTGTAACTTACCATGTTCTTAAAAAAGATTATAAATGAAAATTATTCTAGGAACTGTTTTTGAAAACAGAAGAAGAAAACAAAGAGACATTTTATAATTCAGAGGCATGTTAGCATGCATATATGCTAATATAAAGTGATATGGAAAGAATATGATGTTTTGTCTGAAAACTGTCATGTTAGGTACCAATAATCTTGTATGAATAAAGTAATAACTTGTGTATTTGGACTCAGATGTCTGCCTAAAGAAATGAGCAACAGCTAGAAAACAGCTAGAAGCTCCCCCTCTCAAAAAGTTGAGAGATTATGAAAACAAAACCATGGAACACTATGAAACAGAGGTAGAATGGTTGATAATACAGGTGTCATTGGTGAAAAACTAGTGGAAATCCATGTTCTGCTACCTACCATCTTGTCAATATTTCATTATTTCTTCTTTACTGTGCACAATCAACCAGAATGTGTGAACAAGGGTTCTCAGTTAAGAAGCTGACTACTTTGTGAACAATCCTGGGGAACTGGAAGGGCTGGACTCTTGCCTTATATCTTGGGGACCTTGGCATGCAAAGCAGAGCAGGAAAATCAACCAGCCAAGACCAGACATGACAGCACAGCTCCTGGAAAGGAGAGAGCATCTGTCCTTCCTGGGGATGCCATATGGATAGACTGGCCGGACCTAGCTGCAGATTCCCTTGCTGTGCAATTCTCAGCAATTACATCCTGGAAAGAAACATTAAATACAACTATAACATCTATTCTCAAAAGATTGGTAGCAGTTTATAGTTTATATAAATCACGCAATCAGTAGGCTTCTTGAAGACTTCTTTGCACATGCAGAAGGACAGAAGGAATTCAGAGAGGTGTTTAAAAGTTTAACATAGTGCGCGAGTAATGCTTTCCCTAGAGCTCTTCACAGCCAATCCAAGGATTGGTTGTGTGCTTCCTGGTTGTCTGCAAGCTCCAGGAGCAGTTTAGGGAACGTTTTCAGATTATTAAACAGTAAATCTTGAGGAACAATCCAGTCCTTGATCTGGTAATTCCATGTTTCCTTTCCACTGATAAGCCCCAGCACTGGTCTGTATCACCAGTGCTGAGTAGAGAGGAAGAATCACTTCTATTGATCTACTTGTATGGTTCTTCCTGTTGCAGCTCAGGATGCTGGTGACCTTTGCTACAAGGCTTCATTGCTGGCTTATATTCAGCTTGATACCTATAAGGTTCCTCGGGGCTTTTGTGCTATCCTGCTCACCAGCTAGTGAGCCCAGCCTTTTCTGGTACCTGGGGTTACTCCTCAGGTGCAGGACAACTTTTATACTTTATTTTATACTATATTTTATACTATATTATTGAACTTCATGGGGTTTCTGTCAGTCATTTCTCCAGTTTTTTAAGTTCCTTATGAGTGGCAGAAAACCTTGAGATGTATCAGCCACTCCATCCAGTTTTGCACCATCTAAAAAAAACCCCAGCTTGCTAAGGATGCACTCTGTCCCATCATTCATAACAATGTTAAATATAATTGTTTCCAGTATCCGTCCCTGGAGTACTCTACCACTGGCTGACCTTCAGCTGAACTTTTTGCTGCTGACTACAATCCTCTGAGCCTGACAGTTCAGCCACTTTTTTGCCCGCTGTTCCCTTATCTAGCCTGCAAGGCACAGATGAATGTGTGTGAGAATTTTTCAGAGATGGTGACAAAAGTCTTGCTAAACTTGAGGTAAACATCCTGCTCTTCCCTCAAACTTTAATGAGTGTGTATGTTTTCCTACTGCTTCAAAGATATTTCATAGACAAGGGAGACACCATAAGAGGCAGTGGGTCATAAAAACTCTCAGATTCTTTCCTTAGAAAACATGCCCTTTGCCAGTTACTTTTACTTACCAGTAACATAGGCAAGCAAGTCTGGTACTGGTTTTGGGACACTGACTTGGCAAACTTAAATATTGACATCCGTCATCTAGCCTAGTTTAAAAGATGAACCAGTGCCACTGTTTTTGATTAAAGTTGCTGTGACTGAGGGGTAGTCAGTGGTAAAGCTTATTCTACCACTAGTCCTGAGAGATTCACGCTTCCCCATCACCAGCAAGCACTCCATTTAGCACACAGAGTTGTAGTGTCAAAATGCATTAGCACAAACATAGGAGAAAAAAGCAGAATCTCTCTGGAGTATAAAACATTAAGTATTTGAAAATTACAATTTAAAGAAAAAGTCTGTGAATATATAAGGCAAACTATACTTCCACCTCAGTTCCCTTCTCCAAAGCAGCTGTAGCAGGGAGATGGCAGTGTGATTAGGCTAGCCAGCTCTTTGTGGTACCAACAGCTGCTGTGGCAGTTTGCCAGGACACCCCAGGGCTCCATTGCTTCTGAATATATGTCATTTTGTAAGCAAAACCATGCAGCACAAAAATACGTGGTCACCAATGCCAGCTCGGCAGTCTAAGAATAGATCATCTATGACTATGTTAACAGTTTTGAATACAAGAGATTGCAAAGTATCAGGATTACATTACAGAGAGGAGAGTTGAAGAAAGGATGGAAAACTAGGTGTAGTTCTTGGCTACTTCACCTCACAAAGTTTTACAGGGAAAGAGGCTCGACTTCAGCATGGATGAAGCACACAGTGCAAAGAGAGTTTTCCAAAGCCTAGAGCAAAGAGTTATGCTTAGATTTCTACAAGCCAGACCTCCCCAGGGTAGCTGCTTCAATTTACCCTGACAATGGTAGTACCAGACTGGCAGCCCGGTTGGGCCCAGAGACTGGTGAAGGGTGCTTTTCCCTTTGTAAAACCCAAGGCAGCTAGTTTAAAAGAAAGGTTGAAGTCAAGTATTATGTAAGTACTCAAGATGAGAGCAATAGTTCAGGAAGTAATTTCTTCCCGGAAGCACAGGAGCATGGGTGGATAGGTGAGCGAAACGACAGCAAATTTGCTCCAAACTCAGAGCCTCTTTCCATAGGACAACATGTGGTGATTTTCATGGGTTTCCTTCACATACAAGACATTTATGATGGAATCTGGTCCTGCTGAGGCACTGGAAAGTACTAAGGCCATAACAGAGGACTTAAATCTCTGCTTAAGTAAGCAGGAAAGATTACTTAAGATGCTGGAGGGGAGATACTGAGGTTAGAGCTCATTTTGCCATTGGTGAAAACACAGCAACCAATACTGAGTCATCAGCAAGAGCTATTGAAGGCTTGCTTACACCATTTGCTCCTCTGGATGCCTGTGATTGTGTGGAATATTACGCAAGAGAAGAAAGGGCGCATGAAATTGATGTGATGGTGTAATTTACCAAACTGAACCAAAATACTCTTCTTTCTTGTTTATTAGGCACTGCCATGCTAGAAAGTCACAAGCTCCCTTGAGTATCAGCAAAAATGAAAAGAACACAAATTAAACAGACCTATGAAGTGTTTCTAAGCTGAATTTATTATTAGTTTTAAAAGGCATGGCTGCTTTGTTGTAGGGCAGCTTGTCTCAGGCTTGAAGGGTTTGCTAAGCATAGTAAGAGGCTGGGAAGGCAGGATGGGTTTTTATAGTTTGTTTGCACTGTCAAGAAAATATTCATCACAACCTCTCTGAGAGAAGTTTTGGTCTCAATGTGCAGGGCTCTGATCAAGAAGTAAAAACCGTCATATACAGAGAGTGGGAACTGCAGTGGATAAAAATTGCTTCAGTCCAAAGTAATAATGATTTAGAGTGCAGATTCTCTGCCAGGGATTGAATTTATACGGTTCAGAGAATACACACTCATGTTGACAGGACTGGTTGACCTCAGGGAACCTGCAGTCCATGACCTTTCCTCTCTTAGGTGTAGATCTTAAGTAGAGCTCAGGCTGCCACTAGCCACAGCACCAAGATCGACACAGTTTTGGGGAAACTAGGGTTCTGAGCAGTGTGTCCCAGCAAACTTCTTGCTTTGCTGAGGGAAGATACCCAAACCTTTACCATCCATACTTGTCATGGCAAGGAAACCTGGTCATGCAGGATTGCTCACAGATGCTCTCCACATTGGAGTTGTTACTGTTTCTTGAGCATAGAAAAAAGCCTGATACTTCAGCTCCAAGAAATTAGGGTACCTGTTATCTATGCTTGGTATAAACACAATATGGCTATGTAATACCAGTGCTGGCTCACAGTTGCCAGTGTGTAGGAAATAAAAACAAGCAAATTAATGAATTCATTTGCTTGCCTTCCAGGAAGCTGTCTGGTAGTTTTGGAACCATAACTCTACTATCCATCAGCAGGAGGGACTCCAAGGAATGGGGACAATCAGTCAGAGCCCCAAATTCTGTTCAGTAGTTTCTGAATGTTACTAATGAGTTAGAATGTTAGTAGTTAATTTTTTTGAGAGTTCATAATTCACATATGCAGAAAAGCTGTGTCACATTCATGTGCAGAATTTGGGTGATATCTTTGGGAACTACTTTCTAATTACAAACGTAATAAGAGGGAGTTTTCAACAAAACAGACAAACAATGGTGACTGTGTGACAGTGTGAATGACAGACACCTTCTTTCTTTTCCTCTAGTCTCTCAGCAGGGGGAAAGCCAGAGACGCTTGTACAGAGAACTGCTGCGGAACTACAATCGTCTGGAACGACCTGTAATGAATGACTCCCAACCACTCGTAGTGGAACTCCAGCTTTCCTTGCTGCAGATAATTGACGTGGTAAGTTACTTGCTGTTTTCTTCTCTGTGGCACCCATTCAGCATAACAAATCTGATCTCTCATCTAGGAGACATATTTTTCCTTTTTATCAGGCTATCTGAGATGAAAGCAGTCTGTCTTTTGCTAAGCATCCTCCCTAAATGCTGGAGTACATGCTTTGACACTTTAGAAGAGTGAATATCGTCCAAAAAGAACAGCCACTTCTGACACAACATGAGCTTCAAAGAAATGAATTATGTATTTTTTTTTCCATTTGTTTTAAACAGAAAAAAGAATTCAGTCAATTAGAAACCATGTGTTACTACAAATTATTAATGATGCATTCTTCTCAGAGCTGTGTGGGATGCAATAACTAAAGACCAAGTACAGCATTCAAAGCTACCATCACTGCACTTACACTTTTTCATTAGATATTATAATGTCATTGGCCTCTTCTCCCATTATATTTTTACTGTGCACTGCAGCTGAATGAGTCTGCCCTGATATGAGCTTAGAAATACATAAAAGTAAAACCTGGAGGCACAGCCCTCTAATTGTCTTGACTGCAACATGCTTTTACAGAATTGGAGATTTGACCCACGGAAAATTTTAACATAATAATCCAAATCCTTTTTTTTTCATCATTACAAGGATTCTGTATGATAAACCATGATATATATAGACAGGATTTCTTTCATCTATGTGAGAAAAACAAGCCAGAGAACAATTTTGCCCATCTTCACCCTGTCAGCAGAGCAAACAAGTGAAGACACTAGTGCTCTTATCTTCCTCCTACCTTTTCCATAAACAGTATTTGGAGCTGGTTTCTGATACACTGTCACTGTCATGGAGGGAATGAGGAATAAAGGAGAGATGTGGAAACATTTGTGCAGTAGCAAAGCAATTTAACAGGACCCTCAAATATGTAAACTTTCTTAAGCTCTCACAGTCTTTTTGAAAATATGTAGTACACCCGGTGCCCTTCCTGAAGAGGCAAGCAGGACCCTGAGGGTGTATCCCCCCAGCATCACAACATGCAAGTAGCAGGTCCAGTCAGCTGTGGTATTCCTGGAGGCAGGCAGGAGCCACTCAGATAGGGTGTGTGTCTTTCTGTTTTGAAATGTTACCAACTGCATTGAACTGGAAGAGAAAGGAAATCTGTACTGTCAACCAAAGGCCTCTACATGAATGAAAGAGCAAAGATTTCCTGCAGCTAATTTCAAGTAAATTTCAGCAAGCAATTCTAGGTTTAGCAGAGATATCTCGGCTCCACAGTTCTTCCTTCAGTCCTTCTTTATTTCATTTTGGCATTTTCTTTCAACCTTATTTGAAGGTTGTAGGTACTAAAGGGCTATGTACATTTTCAAAGTCAGGAGGAGTTACATAAAACAATTTTCAACTGTTTCACATGCATATAAGAAACCCAACCTTTCAGGAAATTGGTATGTTTTTAAAGTACTTTATCTACATTATGTCAATGTCTATTATAAGAAATGTAGTTCCAGTGTTCCCTTTTGGTTGCCCACAATAGGAAATAAGTATGCTGGATGTTCATACCTTTCAAAAATGAAGCTTTTTTTCACTACATCTTTGTACCCAGTACAGACGCTAGATGTTAATCTTTATTAATCAGAACCTGTTCCAGGCTTGTGGTCTTGCAAACTGCACCCAAAGTGTTTTAAAAAACACCCGGAGGTGCCTGAATTTTTTATCTTGGATGATGTAAAAAGGTGCCTGTCTCCTCAGTGGAGGACAAAAACTCACTAGGCAGTTGAATCCCTATACTGAAAATGTCATTGTGGCATCAACAAGAGGCTAAACCAACCAGCCTAAAAGTGCACAAAACACTTATCCCTGGGTCCTTAAATCAGGAATCAATGCAGAAATATGCCAGCAATAAACACTGTACTTACGAGCCCTTCATCCTCCATTGCTGGCTGGACAGATGGCAGTATTTGTCTGCTCCAGCTGCTGAAGTAAATGTCTCTTTAAAAGGAGGCTCATTTATAGCCACAATGATGTAAAGAAAAGCAGTCAAGCTACAAGGAAGAGGTAACAGCTAAGACACCATGAGGCAAACCAAGTGGTCATCTCTGTTCAGTCAGATGGGAGTCTGGGCTGAGTAGACTCTGCCTCCTCAGCTGCCCTGCCTGGTGGAAGACAAAGCAGCTGGTGCCCAGCTCTTCACTTTGGGAAGAGGAAATAAAGCATCACAGTCTTGGCAATGGTGTATGCTTAACAAAGGGAAAAGCTGCTCTTTCTGAGGACTTGTGTGTCTGGTGTGGTCCACTACTGTAAAAGAGCAGGGTGCTAGGCAGGCAGGGCCCTAGCATGAAGGCACTTTTTACCATACTCCCTAGGGAGGAAAAAGCACTCCATGATCAGGGAAGTCATGTGCCAAGACATACTACAGCATTGCTGGACTCACTGAGATACTTTGCAAGCAGTCACTGCAATGGGCATGAGACAGTGGACCCTGTTCTGGTTTCCCTGCAGGAGAAAACAATGTGAAGAAGATGAAAACAAATCTGGTTTTTGTTGCATGGAAATGAGAAGAGGTCTGCCACTGATACTCAAAGAACCTTGTGCCTTACCCATGCCAAGACCTAGCATCACATCTGAAGTACTTCTGTCTGGGACAGGTTCCATCACATGTCTCCATAAGTCTGTTTCTTACACATACTGTATTAAAATGTAATGAATCCTAAATTCAACTTCTGCTGAGAACAGCATTGGTGACAAGCTAGTCGCACACTGCTACACAAAGAGAAACGACTGCTCTGAGATCGCTGTGGTTTTCCTAGCAGTAGTATAAGTAACTACTTAAAATCTCACCTACTTTTCTTAAAACAAAGAAAATGTCAAAGCATAACTGCTTTGGATTATGTTTTCTGCTTCTTTGTACATGTATTTGCCTATACAGGATATGTATGGTTTTTAGGATTCAAAGCCAGTCATCATACTCAAAGCTGAGAAGAACACATTCTCTGCTTGTCACAGTTGTGGTAGACAAATGCAAATTAAGGACTTTGGGTTTCGGACTTTATCCCAAAATTATATTCATTCATAACTACAGCCATGACAGGCCCATTACATTCAGGAAACAAATGAGCAGAAAGAGGGACATTACAGCCCCTGTTTAACAGCAGGGTTGAGTTCAGTTTGCCTTGTTCTCTTTGTGTAAGGACAGTTTCATGCTGTGCTGTCTCATGTGTATGCCATTTCTGAGGGTCACTTTTGCTTGGAGCCTGACCTCCAGGCACTCCCTGTGCATCAGGAGGGCATTGGCTGGTGATCTATCTTGCAGAGCACTGTCAGACACTGCCAAGCTCTGCCAGCCCAAACAAGGGTAGATGTCCAAGACTACTTCAAAAATTCTCCTCTTATTTTGTCTGAGAGCCCAGTCAGTTGTTGAGGGTAGTGTAATTAAGAAATGAGGCATGGCATTTTCTGCAGCAGAGGAAATGCAAATGTTTCCCTTTGGAACAATGTGAAAGGAAGCTGCTAGGTGAAAACTATTTGTCATCATGAATGATTGTTTTCATTTCTCATGTTGGCATCTGCAGGAGACCTTATCTGAAGGGGTGTATATGTGGTCGCACTGTTATTAAAAAAAAATACAGCTGGTGACATCCCTGCATATGGTAGAGTCCTGTAGCAATTTTCTCCTCCATGTTCAGCCTTTCAGCTGCCACTGTCAGAGGTCATAATGACAAAAAAAAATAATTGCAAGTAACTAGTGGGAAGCCACAAAAGTGCTGAAAAAAATCCTCAGCAATCCATGAGTTATTATGCACCTCCAGAAGCCAAAAAATACATAATCTTCCTGTATTTTGGGCTGTAATCCCAAAACAAATGCTGTGTCTGGAAAAATTTATTATGGACTGTTTTGATTCAATTGTACAATGTGTAAAATGATTGTACATCCTAGGGGCTGCAGGATTATCCCAGACCTCATGGCTGGGATATCACAAGGCTGCAAACAATCTCACTTTTAAACTACCAATGTTGTTGCTATGGTGTGTCAAAGTTCTCCACATTTTTGGAAAGCAGCAAAACAAGGTAATGTAGGAGTTTAGTAGGACAATAAAAACAAAGATTCACTTTGAGCTTTTTTCCTGAAAACTGGGTCTGAGCCTTGCTGTTCAGAGAAAACATGAGAAAAGATCCTCACATACTTTCACCAAGTGCTCAGGTGCAGTCACTGTCACTGTAAGCAGCATACTAGCTTAGCAGCGTAGATATTTTTGCCTTCTGTACTCAGACCTCATCAAAATGTTGGATTCAAACTTAAGCTTCCACTGGTTTCCTCTAAATCAAAGAATACAACTCTGAAGGAGTTGGAGGTTTTTGTTATTTTGGGTTGGTTTGGGGGTATTTTTAGAAAGTGTTTGGTAAGAGACCAACTTTTAAATGCAGGCATCTGTTGACATGGAAGCTGCCTTTACCAGCCTGCTCATTTCTCAGGTGATCTGCTCATCCAATAACAGGACTGTTGAACTCAGTCCTCAGGAGCTCAGACCTTTTTACTAGGGAGTTCTCTATGGGAGTGAGAGTTGCCAGAACTAGAGGCTGCCTGTCAGTGTACTATACAAAAGTTAAAGGTGAGAAAGGAGGAGGGGAGGCTATGCCTGGCCCTGGGGTGCATCCTGTCTGACACAGCTCTCCCACTGTTGGGTTTTTCACAAAATCTCTGTCAGATCCGAATGCCTTTAGCAGTTGATATCCTTGTTTTTAAATTATTTTGTTTCATAAGCTTTCTAGGGCTGGTTCTGCAGGTGAATTGAAAGGCCAGAAAGTTCAACGTTTATTTTCTAGCTCTAATTCACCTCTTCCTTGTTAAACTGACCTTACAGCATCTAGGTCATTTCCTCCCACCTTTCATTCCAGCACTCTCACACATACAAAAATCTGTGCTGGGTGTTATGTAGTAAACCCAGATCAACAGACAAGCGATTCAAGGAAACAAATAAAAATATGCAGTGCACATAAGCACCTATTCATTTGTTATTCCCAATATA